ATCAGTGGCAGCATTGCCAATGGGCTGGGATTGAAGGAGAAGATGAGAATGAAAGACGGAGGTGAAAAGATGAAGTTCTGATAGCATGCCTCAGCCAAGGAGTCCAAAGCACTTCCCAATGGAGGAGAAGGAATTCGATTTTCATTCTCTTTGCCTCTGCAGAGAAAAGAATGCAGCTAATAAAGACTTGGAATCCCCAATTCTGTGATGGAGCGGAATGAGAGGAGGCCTACCAGTCTTCAGATGTTGGAGTTGAGTTGAACTGAAGGCGAAGACTGTGGAATGCGCAGAGCAGAAGTGGAAAGCGAGAAGACAGCATAAAGGGAAGTATTGAAAATTTGCTGCCTGGAAAACTACCCTCATGTTAAAAAACAAAAACCCCCACATAAACACCAAGTTGTTTCTTGTTGTACTTACACTTCTGCCCTGGAAAGATTTATGAAAGCAAAAAAGGAGAGGAGACCATGACATAATTAAGAACAGGCTGCCTTGAGCACAGTTATTCTAGCTGTGGCTTTAATTTAGTTAACAAACCCTGGTTCTGGTTCAAATAAGCTGGCTCTGCCATTTACTTATGTCTTTAATTTCTGTTGCAACAGCTGCATGTTGATACAGCCGTCCAGGGTGAATGCAGGAGACAGGCAAAGGAGAGACTGCTCTCTGCTAAGAACCAGGAGAGCTGGGGCAGTTCATTTATGTGACTTGGAAGAGCTGTTTTACCTCTCGCCTTAATTTCTGTATCCATGAAATGAAAAATTTTTGAATAGAATTAATAGCAACTTCTTAAAAAAAAATAAGGGCCAATTCAGGAAAAATTAAAGTATTTATAGACTTTTTTCTTTTTATTAAGAATCAGCAACCCAGAGGCCGCTTTTCAATCTTTCACTCTGAGATTAACTTTGGGCTTTGGGTTGCCCGTCGCCAGACCAGACAATCGCTAGTTTCTCTTCCACATTAATTAGGTTCTTGGTTCTCTGATCGAGGTGACTTTTGTTGACCTGCTTCTTCATACCATTTCTAGTCATTTCTTTCCTTAACAACATCATCAGAAGGCTATCTCAAGAGGCTCTTGAAAAACTCTTGGATACAAACGATATTGTCCTATTTTGTTTACACATACAGGCCTTAACGGCATCTTCCTAGTTCAGCAATTACTACAGAGTGAAATCAATAAATATTAATAATTCAGCAGATAAAGTAATGGTTTTCAGAAAACAAGTCAGCAAATTTTGACAGGTTACAACCAATCAATTGATTAGGGCTGGAACTTCAAATATCCAGACATGTCTTCACATGAAATGCTCTCAGAGGGTATGCTGGAACAATAAGCCATTGCCAACGAAAGGAGGAGGAGCCCCCTGCCATTTCATCACGTAAAATCTGATCATTTGATCAATCTGGCTTTAAACTCTTCCAAAGCAAAGAATTAGACAAAGTTTTGAAACAGGGTGTAACCCCAGGAAATCAAACAATGTGGCAAAACCAAAAACACTATAAAACTTTTCCTTACTAAGACTTTGGGCAAACAGTCTGGCAGTTCCTTAAAGGTTAAACATAGATTTACCACATGACCTAGGAATTCCACCCCTAGGTATCTACCGAAGATAAATGAAATCATACATTCCACATAAAAACTTGTACACAAACGTTCATAGCAGTGATATTCGTAAGAGCCAAAAAGTGGAAACAACCCAAGTATCCATCAACTAATGAAGGGGTAAACGAAATTTAGTATATCCATACAATGGAATATTATTTGGCCATAAAAGGAAATGAAGTACTAATACATGTTACAACACGGGTGAACCTCAAAACATCATGGTAAGTGAAAGAAGCCAGACACAAAAGGTCACGTATTGTGTGATTCCATTCATATGAAATGTCCAGAATAGGCGAATATATGACACAGAAAGTAGATAAGTGTTTGCCTAGGGCTGGGTGGGTTGGCGTGAAATGGAGGTGACTTCTACTGGGTATGCGGTTTCTTTATGGAGTGACAAAAATGTTCTAAAATGGATTTATAGTGATGGTTGTACAATTCTCTGAATATGCTAAAAACTATTGAATTGTGTACTTTAAATAGGTGAATTGTATGGTAAATGAATTATATCTCAATAAAGTTGTTATAAATTTTGTTAAAAAACAAAAACCCTAAGCCTTTAGTCTATCTGTGGTGTAGCAGCATTGGCCCAGGCAGCAGAAGTTGCCCTTTCTTAACAGGTCTGTTTTCCTAGGACAATAATACAATTGTATGGCGTGTGTGTGTGCGTGTATCATCCCCAAGCCTACCTCCTCAAAACTCACAGACTGCTAGAACAATCTATCAAATTATGCTGTAACATGACATGGACCTTCGTTTAAAACTGTCATTTGTCACTTAAACTTACTTTCATCCTGAGGATTCACAAGTCATTTGTAAAGCAAACATCCCCCTGTAACTTGGGAGCAGATCAGTGATCAAAATGTGCTAATACGTTGGCTATATTATGAATTGATCATGGGCTGACACCTTATACGCTCAGCTTTACCCATCACAAATTCTAAGCCTTCAGGGCTGTCCATTTCTAGACTTTGCCGTCCCAATGAAGGGTAGCAATCCTGTATTTGCGGAGTCTCTGATCTAAACAATCTTCCACAGTGTCTCTTTATTTTCTACCTCTGTACATAGATCTATACCAAAAGTTCCTTGTGGTAATTCTACCTTCTCTCTCTATCTCGACTGTAGAAATAGTAAGTTAATTACTGTCTGACCCATATAGTCGGAGCACGACTTTTAAACTCTTTCTAGAAAGAAGGAAAAGAAAGAGCTAATGTTGTTTTAGACACTGCTGTTAAACTAACATGGTTATGCCTATTCTAATAGTTATTTTATGAAATTACCTTTGAAATATGGTATCTTCATACTTAGAAACTAGTACTAGCTTACTGAGAGGATCACTCTAAGTTTTGTAATGTCCTTTGGCCACAAGAAATCAAATTCCCCCTGGTCTGAATTAAGAGTCACATCTGGTATCCGAAGGATGGTTTGAAGCAGCTGCCAGTCTTACTGGTACACCCGTGGGGTACAGGTGTGAGGGGGGTACAGGGTGGAGCATGGACTCTGGAGTCAGACTGCCTGGTTCTTAAACTGGTTTCACCATTCTAGACAAGATACCTAACCCCGCTGTGCCTATTCATGCGTAATGTGAGAACAAATTATAATGCCCACCTCACAGAGATGTTGGGAGAATTGAGTTAATTGTATAAATAAATGAAATACATAGAACACAGCCTAACATATAGTAAGCACTCAATAAATTTTATCTGTCCTTATCAACCTCACCAAATGCCGGGGGTAGGGTCACTATTTACTTTCTGCCAGAATCCTATTTCAAGGAACCTGGACTTGGTCCCTGAGGGCACATAAATCATCAAGGGTGGGGGCCATGCCTAAGCAGTGGGGTATAAGTCAGACAGAACAAGACCATTTCCCTACTCCCTTGGTGAGACCATTAGAGTCTCTGAAGGGCCTGGTGCCCCCCTGAAGAAATCCACTTCCCCTAAATATACTCATTCCAATGTTCTGAGTGAGTGGATCTCACACTCAGCAGATCCAGGGTTATGCTGTTGAGTCAAGGCCTGTGGAGGTGGGACCCTGCACCCAGGGTGGAATAAATCATTCAGTGGAGAAACCTGCAATAGCTCCCTTGAGCATTCTGTGGTGCTATGACTTGTGCTGTTCAGACTTTCTTTAACTATAACCCAAAACCTTGCTGACACTGGGTTACTGGATTCCAGAGTCTGCCCAGTCTTGTTCTGCTGCTACGACGTACATTCCCTGATTTCTTAGTTTGGTAATGACCCTGCCTGTCTGCCCTCAAGTTGCAGTTTGATCCCGTAGACCAACTCATGCTGACCAGTGGTCCAGTAACTTAAATGCTCAATCTTGGCCAACTCGGGATCCTTCTGGTTCTGTGCAGATATTGTGCTTATGTTGACGTGCTCAACTCTACCTGTGTCCCTGTGGACACTTTATAAAGTTTCCCCACCCGTACTGGGACTCCTGGCCAACCCAAAATAAAGCACTTTCCTTCTCCAAAGGGAAAACGTAGGTACACAGAAACTAAATTATTTGTTTAGGGAAATAGAGAAGGAGCTAGAAATTTAGCTGAGCCCGAATTAGAACCTTCAGATCACATTGCTTCTAAAATATAGTAATCAACAAGACTTCATTCTTAAATAAAATGTTGTTTTAATAAAATACTGCACATATATATTTTTCTTTTCAAAGATGTTATGACCAGGATGGTTGGTGTGAATAACAATATATGGTGAACTATATAATTAGTAGCAAAAAAAAAGGACTCTCAAATAAATAGGCTTCAACATTTTTTTTTTAGGACATATTCTGCAAATCAGCTGAGACTGAGACAGGCGAGGAGGAGTTGGCTTTTCCTCCAAGAATGTGCTCTTGTTTGGCTTGAAATAGAGAAAGGAGTCATATTTACCCTCCAGGAATCAAAAGTAACATTGGAGTGACCTTCTGGAGAGAGGAATCCTTGCCTCTCCTTACCCTCTCCTTGTCTTTTCGCCCAAGATTTCAGAGCTTAACTGAAACAAACAAAAGCACCACCAGAGTCAACTTTAGGCATCTGAGGTTCCAGCAGGGCGGGTGTGGAGCCAGTGGAAAATTCTGGGGAAAGCAGAGCTGGGCTAATAAGGAGGAAGATCTAATGTGATAAGGGGAAGCTGACTATGCCCGAAGGTACTGACCTAGGTCAAATCTAGGCCACTGCAGCCATTAAGAAAGCCTAGTAAACACAATGATCATGGATATATAATGGAAAAGTACAAGAGGTAGAATTACCCCACTAAAAACCTATTAATTATACTTTAAGTTGGTCCACCACTATTGAGAGTCCCTTAGCTAAAGATTCAAATATAATCAAAGCAATTTAGATATTGTTTGACATCATTTGCTTGATATGCAAGATGCTAAAAAAAAATCCCCCTTAATCCATCGTTCTTTCCCTATCAAATCCACTGCTCCTTTCTCCTTTTCTGGGTAAGGATGAGCACTGGTAGAAAATTCTCAGTTGGGATCCCCAGCCTGGGATTGGAGCTGGCCCTATTTGGAAGTCTTGCTTTTGTATATCTGACAGAACAACAAGTAAGTCTTCAGGGAAAAATCCAGAACAACCCAACTTCTAACAGACAAGGCTTCCTCAAATAGCCTTATTAGCTTTTCAAGAAGCATCACTCAATGCAATTAGATTTGCAAAGGAGGAAGGAGATCGGCTGAGCTGACTCTAGCACCTCTGGCCTCAAAATGGGCTGGCGGAAGACCTTAGCTGCCCTCAGTCCTTGGCACAGTCATTGACTGTAAATACTGAAGACTCCACATCCCTTACAAAGACTTCTTGTCCGGCTGGCCCATCACCCGGGCGAGGCAGTAGGGGATGAGACTGACAGATGCCAGGGGCACTGCCGCACTCTTGCAGAAGGACAGGACATAGAAGATCAACTCGATTTTGGATGGGGGTTTCAAAGAGTCAAAGAGGTGCAGGAGGACAAGGGAGGCCACGATGCAGCTGAGGCGGAATGGAAACCACTTGCTAAACTTGCACTTGCAGCTCTCTCTGTACATACTGGAGTTGAGAGCCAGTCCCAGGCCAAAGAGGGTCCCCATGTTCTTGAAGAGACTGGCGAAAGGCGTGGTGTCAATGTGAACCCATTCTGGCTGCTCACACCGTCTCTTGGCTTTCTCTAGAGTCCACAGGAGGTCTACACCCAGCCCCTTTAGCAGCAGGTAAAATCCAATGGCAAAACTGAACAGGAAGAAGGTAATGAGAAAGTATTTCTTGAGACTGGCATTGTAGATGCTCTGAATGTGGCGGAAAGTTTCAGCAACAGCAATGCCTAAGCAGAAGAAAGAAGGACTGTGAGAAATAAGGAAGACTCTGGAGCTTCAGCTAGAGGTGGGTTTGGTGCGATGGGTCACATGTCATCTGTCCTGCCACTGTGGAATTAAGTCACAGACTCTAGATTAGAGGGTCACCTTGTTTATTCCCATATGTGACTCCAGCCTGTCCTCAGCCACAGATACTTTCAGATGGAAGAGTCATGTCACATACATCCTCCCACCACATACATGTCTCCTGTCAGGAGGTCCTCATGTCTCTACTTGAATACCCTCAAGGGTGGGGAGCTCACTCCCACTCGGGCAGCCCATTTCATCTTTGAATGGATTTGATTATTCCTGTGCTGAGCCGAAATCTCTCCCCCTCTAATGTCGTCTACTGGTCTCAGTTCTTTCCACAGGAGTTAAGCTGTAAATCGAGAGCCTCTTTAATACATTTGAAAATAGTTATCCTCTTCTCTAACCTAAACGTTCCCAGGTCTTTCATGTATCATGGCTTCCAGGCTTTTCCTCAAACGTGGAATCCAGTCCTAAATGCTGTGTTAGTTTGTGCTTACCATGAAAGCATTATCTCCCTTGTTCTCAACACTCTTCTTGGAATTTTACCATGTGTGTTCTGCTCTTACAGAGCTCCAGGGGAAAAAATTCTAAGATTTCTCTAAGGTCTTATATTTCAGTGCCTCTCACAAAGTCAAGAAATTCTTTCTTACACTTAACCTAAGTGTTTTCTGCACCTTATTAACTGGATCTAACAAAACACAAGTATTCGAAACTCTGAACCTATGAAAAAGACCAACTGTGGTATCTATTAGGTTTGCAGATAAATTTAAATAAAGAGTTTTCCTAGGATGCTGTGTTAATTTGTTACACCTGGTAGATTCCCTTACACCCAAACTAGGGGCCACTTCCAATTGAAGATCAGTAAGAAATAAAGATTACGAAAAGCTCGGAGATTTCAAGCTAATTCAACTGCGTAAGTTAATTTTGCAAATTTTCTGGAACACACTTAATTGTGCAGACCTGGGCACTCCTATGGAAATTAATCATTTCAAATCACCCACCCTTGACTTTCAACCCACTGAAATGGTAACACCATCAATTATGCTCAGAACATGGCTTGAATACTGGGGTTTTGTCCTGATAAGGGAGAAATGGGATAGGCGGGGGAGGGAGGGATGGAGGGAGCCAGAGCAGCTGATACCTGACAAAACTCCAGCAACAACCTGATGGGGAAAATGAGCAGCAAGGTAGATTCGTGACAGACAGACGTTCAGCTGCACGGCCCAGAATCCCAACCACAAAATGACGTTCAAGCACCTGCAACAGAAGTAGCAGCCATAACAGAATACAGACACAGATCCTTCAGCAAATAGAACAGCCCCCACAGGAATGCTGGAGACTGGCAAACTCAGATGCTGTCAGTGGAATATCCGTAAATTGAAATCCAAAAGCTCAAAGCTCAAAAGCTCAAAGATGCCTGTGGCACATGGTGAACCCTTGCATATGTGAATTTTAACCTCCCTATTTTATGTTTGGTAATTAAGGATTTGCACAGTGGCTGCATACCCAGAATTTCCTGTAGTAGGAATGTCTTATGTTTCTCTGTTTATTTTAACTAGGACGGGGTGACTCTATGATTGGTAGAGAAATGGGTTTTTATTTAAAGCCTGCTGTGACCTCACTACCTGATCTCAGGTAGTGACCTTCACTACCTGAAGCCCCTTTACTGTGGTAGGCCTTGTTTCCTTATCTGTAAAATTAGGGGTTGCGCTCATGGGTCCCTTCCAGCCCTAACATTCTGTGACTCTAATGTTCACCCTCAGCAGAAATGCCACAACTCTGATCAGTACTAACCCAAGGTGGGGGATGGGCTAGGGGAATGTGAGGAAGAGCAGGTGGTGGGTCAGCTACAGAGAGAGTCACCTCCTGCCCTCCACCACCCACACCCAAGTGCTGAGTTCTTACCGAAATCTGTAGGTCGGCTTTTTCTTTCCCCGAAAGATAGAGAGAGTGGATGTGACCATCACATAGTATACACCTGCTGTACCCATGGCATGGCCGGAGGGACTCCCTAAAAGGCAGAAAAGAGATGAATGAACGGACTAAAGGTGAAAAGTCTCCAACTGGGAGACAGCTAGGGCTGTCATTTATCCATCCATTCGTCTATCCACCCATCCACCCATCCATCCATCCACCCATCCCTCCATCCATCCTGCCACCCATCCACCCATCCATTTATCCATTTAGTCATTTATTTAACAAATATCTATAGAGCTCCTACTACATGCCCAGCACTGTGCTGGGCCCTGGGAGTACAGTGGTGAGCAAAATCAGAGAAGTGTGATTCTTGTGGTTATAGATGGTCTAGAGATTACACAAACAATCAGCATGCTGGTTGTATAATTGCAAACCGATCTGTTCTCCATTCTCTCTCTTCCACACTCACCTTGCTCACTCTGCTCAGCCACGCTAGCCTCATTGCTCTCCTTTAAACATGCGGGAGATCTCAGGGTCTTTGCATTGTTAATCTTTCTGGCCAGAAAATTCTTCCTACAGAAATTTACTGGCTAATTCCCTTGCCTCCTTCAAGTTTTTGCTCAAATCTCACCTGCTCAGTGAGCCCTACGCTGACCACTTGATTTAATACTGCACCAGTTCCCCTTCCTGATCCCTCTACTCTGGGAGATAGAGGGTCCTAAGATGCACCATCCAGATCCCCTTCTGGACTGAGGGACTGATTTTCCTAGCTGTTGAGAGTGTGGTCACAGACGGTCCTCAGCTCTCAGCTTTCTCCAGGCATCGTGCTGAGCTGAAGAGAGCCACCTTGATCAGGGTTACCTTCTCCCTGGGGATGGCCTGCACCCAGTTACTGGTCTATATTGGGATATAAGGGCTTGGTCCCCTTGACCCAACTCAGGGCAACTCTGAAGGGCTATCCCCAGCTTCAGAGCTCCCTGTGGGGTCCACTGAGACTGAATCACAACTGGGCTTCTCCTTCTGCCCAGTCAGCTTCTGTCCCTTCCCTCCATAACTGTCGCTCCCGAGTAAGTTGCATGCTAATCTCCATCCGAGTCTGCTTTCCAGGGAATGCCATAAGTAAAGCCTTTCCTTTTCTCTTCTCTTATTTTCTCCCCCTCCTCCTTGTTCTTCTGAATTATCATCTTCTAATATCCTATATATTTTACTTTTGTATCATGATTTCTATATTTTGGACACACACACCTTCCCTATTCAAATTTCAGCTCTACGAGGACAGGGATCTTTGTTTTATTCACGGAGGTATTCCAAGTACTTGGAACAGTGTCTGGCACAGAGTAGGTGCTCAATAAATAACATCCAAATGAATGACTGTGCTCTGAAGTGAACAAAGGGTTTGTGAGAACAAATAACTAAGGGCTATGCCCGGTTTGGGAGTCAGGATAGGGTCCCGGAGGAAGAAATGCGAGCACCAACACCTAAGGGTGAACGAAGGGGTTGGATAATCCTATTATCTACTGAAAACGAAATCTATCATTTGACTGAATAATACCTGTCTGGCTGTAACTAGTAAAATACAGGCAGGGTGTGGGATCAGACGGTCAGCTCAGGAGGGCACATCTACTAGGCCAGGCCTCTGGGAAGGGGCTCAGGCCCCTACCGCTTTCCCTTCTATGGACGAGGGGCCATAGCACAGTTACTCTCAGGAGCCCTTTGCCCGTGAGGGTGCTCTTGCCTCTCTAGACTAGCAATTTAGGTTCTGGAAACAGTAGGCAGATTTCCAAAGTAGCGGTAATATGCTATTCAGGAAGGCCTTCTTGAAGTGAATTAAAATGGAGTTGTACCAAATCGAAGACCAGGACAAAAGCTCAGAGTGGCTCTCCTTGTGTCGCTCAAAGACAGCTTCATCCACAACGAATTTTAATAGGTGTCTACGATGAGCAAGGCCCCCCCCCCTGCTTCTGTCTCTGCAGGGGCTGGGACTCTCACCTGGTCCGGTCTCACAGGTGACCGGAAACTGCTTGATCAGTGGCGCGGAGGTGTTGCTGTAGTAGTCGGTGTCCAGGACCCACCAGTACGGGCGCTGTCCAAAGAGAATCCTGTAGAAAAGCAGAACCCGTGTCTGGAGTTACTGAAGGAACCCTTTTGCTTGAAGCCCTCACCTTCAAGAGGAGAGAGTAGCTTGAGGAGAAGATCCATGTGATCCTAAACAGAAAACTGGTAGCACTGGCTTCCTCCAAGAAGGGGAACTGGGTGGCTGGGGAGAGGCAGGGGAAGGACTTTTTACGTCTTTTTATGTCTCCTTATAAAGGAGACCTTTATAAAATTTCTGAATTTTGAACTATTTGAATTTCTTATTTATTCAAGCATAAATAAGTAAACCCAAGACCCTAAAATCCATATTAATGGCAGCTATGTGACTCTTTTGTAGACCCCAAGAAGAATTTGTCCTGGAAGGATGCATACGGAACTACAGCTTGCAACTTGGACTCGCACATCCTACCAGGTGCCTCTTCTCTTTCTTCCGGCTCCAGGGAATCTTGCATTTCCTCTGACGCCAGAGAATGCGCCCCAGCCCCAAGGACAAGCCCCCCCGCCCCGGAGACGTGGCCACTGCGTTGCCATCAGAATCGCTCTCTGTAAGGACATACATAGCTTCAGGTGCTTGTATCCTCTCTGCTTTGAAACAGGATAGCTCAGACAAACCACTTTCTCTTTAAAAGTACTAGATATGTTGTTGTTGTTGTTTTTTGTGAGGAAGATCAGCCCTGAGCTAACACCTGTTGCCAATCCTCCTCTTTTTTGCTGAGTAAGATTGGCCCTGAGCTAACATCCGTGCCCATCTGCCACCACTTTATGCAGGACGCCTGCCACAGCATGTCTTGATGAGTGGTGAGTAGGTCCACGCCCGGAACCCGAGGCCTGTGAACCTGTGAACCCGGGGCCGCCAGAAGCGGAGCACGTGAACTTAACCACTATGCCACCAGGCCGGCCCCCTAGACATGTTTTTCATTGTGGAAACAGGTGTTGAAGGTTGAGATGCCTCCTTATCCCTGTGGTGGTGGAATAGTGATTTCTCACCAACATCAGGGACAGCCACTGACTCTGACCTCTACCAACTCAGAGAAAATCCATGGTTCATTAATTGAGATCAGCTCTTTGGAATAACCCTTTATTTTTAATTTTTTTAGAGTCATGCTGTTGAATAGGGGGCATTACAGACAAAACTTAGATTTTTCAACAGAAGTTTCAGAATCTCATCAATATGCCTTGGGCTTCTGAGCCCAATAGCAATTTTTTTCTACCCTAAAGAACTTTTATTGTTTAAGGCCAAAGAATATCAGAGCTGAAAAAGATCTTAAGAATCGCTTCTATGGGGCCGGCCCTGTGGCTTAGCGGTTAAGTGCACGTGCTCCGCTGCTGGCGGCCCGGGTTCAGATCCTGGGCGTGCACAGACGCACCGCTTGTCAGGCCATGCTGTGGCAGCGTCCCACATAAAGTGGATGAAGATGGGCACGGATGTTAGCCCAGGGCCAGTCTTCCTCAGCAAAAAGAGGAGGATTGGCATGGATGTTAGCTCAGGGCT